CGACCAGGGGCAACGGCAGGAGGAGGAGGAGGAGGAGGAGGAGGAGGAGGAGGGAAGGAGGAAGCAGGTGGTGGAAGGAGGGGAGGAGAGGAGGAGAAGGAAAGGAATAGGAGTAGGAGTAGGAGTAGGGGTAGGAAGTAAGAGTAGGAGTAGGAGTAGGCGTAGGAGTAGGAGTAGGAGAGGAGTAGGAGGAGGAGGAGGAGGAGGAGGAGGAGGAGGAGGAGGAGGATTGAGGAGGAGGAGGAGGAGGAGGAAGAGAGAGGAGGAGGAGGTTACGAGGTTACGAGGTTACGAGGTTACGAGTTCAGCGAGGCGCATGTCACAGACTAGCGCCTCGGCCGTTGCATGCGGCGCCTGCATGAGTGAGCGCCAGCTCTCTGCGTGGAGAAAGATGGCAGGGCGAGCGCTCGAAAAACAGGCCACTGCGACCGCAGAGGCCACGCTGGCATCGGCAGCCTGCTCAGAACAGCAGGCCGCCGAACGCCCAGCTACCCCTCCTCAGTCCGAGCCAGACGTGGACTCCTCGGTCAGCGCCCCCTCGACACGAGAAGCATCCTCTGCGCGCAGCCGCGCACGGACAGGCTGGGGCACAGGCTTGCCCCGCTGCGCCGAGGAGGAGGAGGCGGAGGAGGGAGAAGCTGGGGTCCCTGCGCCACAGAATCCCCGAAGGGAGGGCGCAAGGGGGGCCAGAGGCGCACAGGATGCGCCAGCTCGCACGGTGCGCGGACTGGCCGTGTCACGTCGATCCCGCCCGACCGACGCGCCTTCAGACGACCGCCCGACGTCCCGCCCCCCATCACTATCGGGAGCGGCTTCGAGCCCCTCGCGCAGAGGGCGGGGCTCCCCCAGCTGCCCGCTGTAGGGCGACGAGATCTATGCATATCCACTGCTCCTGGCCAGGCCCATCCTGGGCCCAGGAGCTGTGTATATGCCTCCCTGGCCAGGCCAGGAGGGCGTATACACCGCTCCTGGGCCCAGGATTGGCCTGGCCAGGAGCAGTGGATATGCATAGATCTCGTCGCCCTACTCTGGGCCGCGGAATCCGCACCTCGGCAGCCGAAGGAGCCTGACCCTTGCGGCAAACCACCGGCGCTGGAGGGGGCCACGGGCGTGGGCGTCGGACAGAGCCCTTTTGCCCGTCCGCGGGTGGAGCCCGCGCTCCGCCCTCCGAATCTGCATTCGAGGATTGGCTCGCGTGCCAGCAGCACGCGAGACTCCATTCCATACTTCCATACTTCCTTCAGCTGACCGCAAAAGGGCCGTCAGGGAGTATGACATGGTTGGCACAGGCTTCGCAGATCACCATCTGCCCGTACGCGGTCGGCTGGTGCTCTAACTCCCTGAAGACCTCACGCTCGTCGGCAGGACCGTCCTGGCTGTGAGGGGCAGGGGCAGGAGGCTGCACCACGGCCAGGTCGAGAGCAGTGAGGGAGCCAGGCACGGCCTGCGGGAGGGCAACACCATCGAGGACCGCGTGTGACATGCTCGCAAAGAGAGTCCTCGCTCGCCACCGCTGGACATCGGTCGGTCGACCGAATCTCCCCGCCCCCGTGCGTAGCCCCTTGAGAGTGTGCTCAGTCCTAGCGACGGCGTTGCATTGTGCACATCGCCACTCCTGCCGCTCCTTCAAGAAAAACAACTGATGCATCACCACCGTGAGGTGGTCTCTAGGCGGGGCCGAACGAGGGGGGGGATCCTCACGGTCAACCCGTGCCGCGTCGGACGTGATAATCTGAATAGCACGCGAAAGGAAATTCCAGGTCCGCTTCACCGCCTTAGTAATAATACCAATCATCATCCTGCTAAAAGTAGTAGTGGCACTATTAACATTCAGAGTGATGAAAATCATCAAAAGCAGGACAACTATCACAGTCATACTAAGACCCATTATACGAATAGTTCAAGAACAGGGAAGAAGGAGCGGAGGAGGAGGAGGAGGAGGAGGAGGAGGAGGAGGAGGAGGAGGAGGTTGTGGAATGAGAGGAGGAGGAGGATGAAGTAGGAGGAGGAGGAGGGGGGAGGAGGAGGAGGAGGAGGAGGAGGAGGGAGGGGAGGAGGAGGAGGAGGACGAGGAGGAGGAGGAGGACGACGAGGAGGAGGAGGAGGAGGTAAGAGGAGGAGGAGGAGGAGGAGGAGGAGGAGGAATCGAGGGGGAGGAGGAGGGAGGAGGAGGAGGAGGAGGAGGAGGAAATCGAGGGGAGGAGGGAGGAGGAGGAGGAGGAGGAGGAGGAGGAGGAGGAGGAGGAGGAGGAGAAGGGGGAGGAGGAGAAGGGGGAGGAGGAGGAGGAGGAGGAGGAGGAGGAGGAGGAGGAGGTGGAGGAGGAGATATGGGTCCCGTGCAACGACACGGCCCCGTGTGCCACACCGCCCCTGGAGGCGGGCGGCACCGCCCACGGCAGAGGGCTCCGCGCTCAGGCGACGCCCGGAGACGGGCTGACGGCTTTTGGATGTTGATCCTGGGCTTAGTGGGCCTTCCGTTTTGGGGCTTTTGATGTTGATCCTGGGCTTAGTGGGCTTTTGATGTTGATCCTGGGCCCCTGCGGCGTGGGGCCCTCCGTTTTTGGCCGAGTTGTTCTTGCCGGGGCCCCCCCTCGAGCAGAGGGTCCCCGCAAGCCGCAAGGCCCCACTGTCGCATCGTCCCGCGCAGCCCACCCCTTAGTGGGTCCTGGAAACGACAGGGCGGTTTTTGTTACCGGTTCGGTTTAGCCGTTTTTGTTGCCGGTTCCGACGCCATTTTTTACCAGTTCCGTCGCCTTTTTTGTTGCCGTTTCCGGACGCCGTTTTTTTGCCGTTTCCATTTTCAAGGGACCACAAAGATCCTGGGCCGTCCTGGAAGATTGCTCTCCGCCCCATGGAAACCAGGCAATTACGATAGTCAGCCCGAATGATGAGGACGCGCGATAAGCATGCAGGGGCCTCGGAAGCCCGGTTCGAAGAGCTGTTCGGACGGGGCGCGGCCAGCGGAAGAGGCCGAGCATGGACCGAGGAGGCAAGGACGCAAGAGTAGCCTTGGGAAGGCTGCCCATGCGTACTATGCGGGTTGACTGTACACAAGGTTAGACTCCAGGCCGGATCCGAGCAGAGGTCTTGGACACACGGGGCCGACCGATGCTGTTTTGATTGTGTAGCAAGCTGCTCGCTTTCAACAGGGGCCCCCGGACTGTCTTTCCAGAAGGCTGCGCGAGCGAGCCTTCAGGCGAAAGCCATGACAAAAATCTGGCGGCTGGACTTCTGCAGGTGTTCCATCTTCCTGGGGCGCCCTCCTGGCCGCGGCTGGATCCGCCTCGATCCGCTGGTCAGAACGCACCCAGGGAGGGGTTCCGAGATCGACCGTTGACCCCTGGCCAGGGGCAACGTCGAGGGGCGTAGGCTTCGAGCTTCGAGGCGGCTCGAGGCCTTCGGACGCCTCCGCTGGCTTCCCGCGGCCTCGGCGGCCTCGGGGCGCCTCTCGCGGCGGCCGCCCCTCGCCGAGCGCGCTCGGGGGTGCCCCGAGCGGCTGTCGGAGACCCGAGTCAGTCATGATCCGACCCGGCTCGGGGGGGAGCGCGCCGACCCCCAGAGTCGCCCCTCTCATCCTGGCCAGGCGCGTGTGGCGTTTCACCATCGGGGGCCTCGTCGCCGATCCGTCGGCGTCGTGTCGCAGACTCGAGCGCCGGGCGCTTCCGCCTCCCTCCCTGAGCTGGCCCCCCCTGTCCTCTTCTCCTCCTCCTCCTCCTCCTCCTCCTGCTGATCCTGCTGCTCCTCCTGTTCCTCCTCCTCCTCCTCCTCTTCCTCCTCCTCCTCCTCCTCCTCCTCCTTCTCCTGCTCCTCCTCCTCCTCGTCCTCCAGGTGGCTCTCGCGCGGGCCCCGCAGGCATTTTGCCCTCGGCGCGGGCGCCCGCCGAGCGATAGCCCCCAGCCCCACGGAGGGGCGACCCCGCGCTGCTGCAGCGCGCTCCCGCCCGCCAGCCTGGCACCGCAGGGAGCGGCGCCTGCGGGCTGGAGCGAGGAGGCGGCTGAGGCAGCTGCAGGACGCACAGCGCCTGGACGCGCACCACGGCAGCCAGGCGCCGAAGATGGTCAAGGGCGGGGCCAAGGCAGGCTCCGACAAGGCCTACGTGGTGTGCAAGGCCTGTGGCGAATGGTGGTGGAGCACGCGCTTGGAGGCGATGTACTACCAGTGCAAGTGCAAAGCCGCCCTGCCGAAGCCCAAGTCGCCGAAGGCGGACTGGGGAGGCAGCGACGGCAGCAGCAGCGCGCCAACAGCGGCAAGGGGCCGCTGCAGCAGCACAGCAACACCAAGAGCACGCCGAAGGGCGCGGACAAGGTCTCGCAGGCCCTGAAGCTGCTCACGGACACGCTGGGCGACCTGAACTTGTCCAACGGCGAGGCCATCTCGAGGACCCTGCAGGGCGCGGCAGCAGCGATCAAGGCCGCGGTGCCAGAGCCTCCGCCCAAGTCAAGGGCGCAGAGGCTAGGCATCGCGGCCAAGGCACTGGAGGAGGACAACCAGGCGTACTCGTCGGCGTTCGCGGCCAAGAAGCGGGCAGACGCAGTCGCTCAGGAGGCGAGGACCAAGCTAGACGTGAAGGCGGCGGCGGTGCTCAAGGCGGAGAAGGAGCTCGAGGACATCCAGGCGGAGGGCCGCGACCCTCCGAAAGGCGTCCGGGAGCAGCTGGTCAGCGGCCAGGTGGAGGAGCTGGCGGCGGGCCAACTCGCAGCGGACATAGAGCGAGAGCTGAACCTGACCGCCGCCGACCTGGACGAGGAGAGGCGCAAGCAAGTAGAGGAGGTGAAGAAAACAGTCGTGGCCCAGATGAAGGAGAACGCCCAGGCCTTCTCGACGCAGCTGAAGGAGCACCTGGCGGCGGCGAAGCTGAAGGCGGCGGAGCAGCAGGCCACGATCCACCAGGCGGCGAAGAAGAGGAAGGCCGAGGGAGGAGGCGCAGCGGAGCCCGCGCAGCAAGCGACAACAGCTGCCGAGCCCCAGCAGCCAGCAGCTTCCCCCACGGAGGCCTCGGC